TATTATACGACGATGTTTATTTTATACAATCATGCATTTTACTGCATTGATGCCGACTAGAGAGTGATGTTTACCACCAAAACATTTTGGAAACAAAAAGAACTAATTGCGTATACTGTCGGAAAAGCATTAAAGTAATCACAAATCGTGTCAAAAATGTAGTAGTGATGGGAAAAACTTACAATGCCAAGGATTGAAATACATTTCAGCAGTGAATAAATGATATTGCCAATGTCCACATTATCAAGATACGAACGAATAGAAAATAATGTTTTCATATGCCCAAACACAAAACGGTACTGATCCATTTCCGTAAACAAATCAGATAACAGAGACATCTATAAAAACGATTTAAAAAAAACTCTGTCAGTACATAACTTTCATGCCCTGGTAAGTTGAGTGCATTCATACAATATGTAACATGCAATTTTTATGCTCTTTTTAGCTTCAAGACATCAAGATATTTTATAACGCTATTACCAGAAAATTTTAAAGCTATACCGACTTAACAGTTGCTGAGAGAAGAGGCAATGGAACAGCATCTACACCAGCACGAAACCAGTGTGAATAAGTATCGAAAAGCATTCGCAAACATGATTCATATGTAGTGTCATGGCCACTGTTCAGTAAGTAGCTGCTATCTGACGAAGGCAACCGCTGCAATGTTTCCTAATCTTCCCCATCTTAGAATTAAGTTAATAAAAAAAAGCATCATCACATTAGTTGAAACAGCAGTTTATCTTTCAAGTATCTCGGGTAAATAAAAAATTGATGAAAGCATCAATTCTTTGCAGGAGTCGTAACATCTGACTTTTCAGAAGAAATTTTCTGATGCCATCAAAATATACACAAAATTAACACGAAAGCGCACCTCTTTCGATTGACTATTGATCTGCATGATGTCTTTGTACAAATTGCGTTCTTGATCCAGAACACCAGCCATATTCCAAAATGTAAGTACCGAAAATTGTCCCGGTCGATACCTTTTCCCTCGATCGTTTATAATTTCTAAGTTCTTTTTACGAATGGAATCTACTGCGGAAGCACCCAACAGTTTTGCTTGAAGCATTGTTAAACGCTGCCCATATCTTCAACAGTAATTTAATCTTCAGTGAATGAAGTGGGACAAAAAATTCTTAATGATGAAGCATCTAATTATTAAAACTATCCACAAACAGCTCACGACGATGAAAGAAAATCTGGTGATACATCACGCGGTTTCACAATGAACTTTCCCGTAACCGGATCACCTCTTTCCGGATACAACAACGTTTCCAGCAATAGGTTCGTTATGCCTTCAACAGCAATAGTACTAGCCATAAGCTGCTCCGTCATATTCTGGAAAACATTATATTTAAAGTAACTCCCTTAACAAGTTTTTCAAATAAATGCATTGATTCATACAATAAGTAGTAAACCACAAGACCAGAGAAAATACAAAAAAATGATTGGAAAATTTTGTAACTATTTATAGCCATAATTTTTTAACAGCATTAACAACAAAGTACCACATTAGCATTTGCAAGTTCAGAGCCAGACGGAGTTGACGAAATTACACCGAACAAAGACATCGAAAAATTATCAAAATTTGAGCGGCGATTCCATCCAGCCCATAAAACCCGCCATACAAAATCTTGCAAAATATCTACATTCCCAAGGTAGTGGATATTCACGGTCGGTATTGAAATCGACGAACGGTGAATTTCTGGTTCTGGTTTCCAACCACATCTCAAAATATCCTTACTATCAAATTATCTTTACTATTTACTAAACAAGGAAAAGCGAAGATATGAAATCGATGGAAATAAAAAAGGAACATGAAATGCTTACAAAATTGCAGACCGTGGTATACATGAAATATCACTCAAAAACGGTAATCTTGACACAGCTGAAAAACTTTGCCACTTGAAATCAACAAAAAGACGAATCCATAACAAGGTGTTTAAAAAGGTGTTCTACCATGACTCCTGTTACTAGCATAGGTTCAGCTTTTTCACTCCTAACATAGAGAAGTGAAAAAGAGCATACAAAAGTGTGAATGAAACACAAGATGTCAAGCTATGAAATTAATCATTCTGTAGTAGCATGGATTCTAGGGATGGAGTGGTGGTTCCGAAATATCGAAAGAATTAAATCACATACTGACCCTTCGCTAGCCTTTCTAAGTGAGAGTACAAGCGAGTTTTACGATGTTTCTTGCGAAAAATTTCTTGTATCTTTTGCGTTACATCAAAAGCAGTTCGTATAGCATCAGAAAAAAAACCTGCAACACTAAGAAACGTTCTAACATGTAATTTAACTAATTTCAGTTTGGCTTCGGAAGAAAGAAATTAGATCAACAATTGCTCCAACACAAATAACAAGTACTGCTATATACAAGCCAATTTCCTATTGAGAGAACAATGCAGCTCATTCCTACTCGAAAACTTTACCTATATCGAAATCTTTCTTGCCAGTCCGATCGATTATTTTCATACTCCAAAAAGGATCACCCAGCTTTTGCAATCCCTGGTAAGGCAGCATGCTACACTGCTCAAAAACGTACTGAACCAATCTAAAAATGCAGTTCCTTAACCACTACTATATAGTCTTTTTAAAGCATAAGAAAAGGAACAAACGGAGAAAAAAAAACAATTTCAAATCTAACCGAGCGACACTAACAGCCAAAGACAGCTGCTGCTCTACAACTTTCTTCGAATTTTGAGCTTGGTCAATAGTTTCACGAAAAGAAGGCCTAGTAATTCCAAAAGCGACTGCACAAGCCACTTCTGATGTTTGTGATTCACTCTAAATATCCAGAATTTCTGACAGCGAAAGCCAACCAAAGAATCCAGTGATTTTACACAAATAATCATCAAATAACTGATGTTTGACAATAAGAAATGTGGTAAATCACCTGTACGGCAAGAGAATCGACATAGCGTTGTATCCAATGATCGAATAATGAATCTTCGGTAACCCAATCAGATGCTTTTTTGTAGGCAATACTTTCAGGTTTCTGTAAAAAGTAAATTAGTAAGAATTTATTCATTTCTTACAGATAAAAACCAAACAGTTGAACAATAGAGAAAAGAATCAAATGAGTGAACACAGACATTTGCAATTCTACTTTGAACAAAAAGTTGCAAAGAAGAATTGACGGACGGATCGAATGCAAGTGAAACAAATGAAGCCAATAATGTGTCGATTTTCAGCAGAGGAGATGTGGAAAGTTCATCGTACAATTCACCTAAATACATAAAATATAATAAAGAGCGTTAAAATGCCACCTAAAAGAAGTCTATGATGCGAATTGATGGCCAAAAAAATTTCCAATAGTACTTATCATGTGAAAAAAGTACGTATTGTATTTCAACAATTTCCGAAACTAAAGACACTATAGGCTGAACAGAAATTTCAGAAGTAATTGTAATCATACCAGAACATTCTTTAGCAATTTTAAATTGATCCAACATGTCAATAAAACTGGACAGTACGTCGTATCTCTTACATTCGTACTATAACATGCGGATTAATAATAAGTGATATTACATGGGAACAAATTACATGTATAATATTTTAAATAATAGATCTGCGATCAAAATTCTCATAAATATTGCAAGAATGTGTGGCAAATTCCATCCGTAGTGGTTGTAGATGCACTTATCCAAGTTTAGATGGACAACAATTAGATAGACAACAATTGAAAGAAAAAAAAACGTTTAAAAGCAATCTCATATAAAGGTGGTACCGCATTTCGTAGTATCATTTCCGCATACCTTCCTTCAACGTTACACAACATGACACAAATAAATTCCGCCTGGATGTCAAAATCTAAAATCAACACGTGTACATTTCTATTATCTCGGTAAATTGATGCTGAACAACTCAAAACTTGACTTTTTTTTCCAATAATTTGTTGAAGTATATCAGCAAAAAGTTCTGGAGTGAACTGCGATGGATCATCAATTCCAAGATTGTGTTTCTTGCCACCTAATTTTGATGTTTTTTCGACGCTGAAATAAGCGGTGGAAATGGAAAACTAATAGCAATTTGAGAGAAATGAATCAGCATGTTGCAATTATAATCACTGAGTTCCTTCGGACCATTTATCCTAACGCTTGAAGAAGCCTTTGTAACACAGCATTTATGAATTTCAAATGAGATCAGCAATACCATTTAAATAAGAAATCAGCAGAAAATTGTTCCGATGTTATGAAGTTTGTCAGTGAAGTTTTGAGTGCAACATTTTCACTCTGAAATTAATGACGGCGAGTTTGAAATTAATGATTTCAGATGACTTCTGCATGAGAAAGTATAAGGACTGAAATACTTCAGGAATAAAATTCGCTCTAGGTTATACTAAAGGTAACGGCAGCAGGATTTCTAACTAGATAGTTCATTGCAAGAAAACTCGGTAGTCGATAAAAACCAAGTGGCTCAAGCGACTGATAGATCAGGTCGAAAGATTAGTGGAGGAGATTTGAAGTTAGCATGCTAAGCTTCAGTTATCAGGCAGATGTACAGTCATGTCTGTAGTGCAGTTTCGTGATTAGATAACACTGAATAAGATAATCTTGATGGTGTTTCTTTCATATCTTGCAAAAATTACCTGATGATCACGAACAAGAGCCATTAAATAGTCCAGTATTCTAGATTTACCACGTTTATTTTGCAAAAATTCGATGATAATAGATGTTTCCGGAATATCATTGGATGCGATAAGTTCAATAACATCCAAATCAACAGCATACTATAATAAATTGTCTAACCAACTTTAACTAAATCATTGCAGTTAATATAATGAGAAATTATAAAGACTTACAGAGCAACAATTTTTGCTGAGGTTGATAGCACTTTCTAGTAAAGTCTTCTGCATATCAATGTCCAAATCACTACAAAACCATCATGTGTTTTTACTCTTCAAGTTATGTCTCTAGCTCTTTCAAGCCACACACTATATTAGACATGTTTCAGCAGTTTATTCATAAATCCAACTTCAATTTGTGATAAAATTTTTTTGAAAAAGCAACAACTGATTTTTTCAAGCTTTACCTTATATGACATGCAAGCCACCTACGTACTACGACAGTTAACAAAATATCTGGAGAGCAACAATCGAATAAACGAACGATATCGCCAGCTTCATCTGGGCTCGCTGTTCGGCATTGCGTTATCATACACAAATCGCCTAACTGTCTACAAATTGTATTGAATAAAGTCTGAACGGTTTGTAGTAAAAAAATATAAAAAAAACAAGAATTAACAATTGAAGTAATAACTTACTTTGAGGAGGAATGAAACAAATGCTTATGCCTATGGAAACCAGCAGCGTTAACAAATGCAAATAGTTGAGCGTAAATACGTGGATAAAACGTCGATAAGCTTTGAAGATCAGCAAAATCCATTGAGAAATATGCATCAAAAGTATTTGTAATGGATTTCATATCACCTTAAAAATGATAAAAAGAATCAATTCCGAAATAAACTGAATTAATTTTAATAGAATTCACTACATGGAAATTTCTGCTGGAGAAACATTAATCACTGAATAGCTATTCAAAGTTGAATATATGAATTGAAAACTCACCTGAATGAACGGCGTGCGATAAAATTAAAAGATACCAAATCACCAAATTTTCACTGTTTTCCTCATTGATACTATCCAGAGAAGTTAGTCGTCGTAAAGCTTTCAGACACTGACCAAGTAAGGTCATTAGCAAACTATAAGATGAAGTTATAATGTGTTCTGTAACTAATATGCAGTTAACTGCAAACTAAATAGTTCTAATAAATTTTTTAAAAAAGGAAAACAACTACAACATATGCCACACTAGTTACATCAAAAACGTAAGGAGACAAACCACCCAATCTTTTCAACAGCACGGTCACATATTTGTTCGATTCTTGTAAAAGTTGAACCTTCCTTCAAAACACACAGGAATATGAACAAATATGGTAGGACGACCACCAGTCGAGAAAAACAGTGCAAATCCTGCAACTTCAACAATTATGTCGACCACCAACAATTTTAGCGCAACGGAAAACGGAAATTTTATCAGATGTGAATATACACGAACATCTTCTAAAATGTTGATCATTTTTTTGAAAAGAGAGTCCATTGGTCGAGTAATGGCGGCATAACATGACCGCAACAAAATGATTGCATTGAAGGCTGTAGTGAATTCCCAATTTCCTGCATATAATTGTTGCAAGTTTTCAAACAGGGATAACAATGTTTTTGTCCAACTGTAAAGAAATAGTGCAATAATCTTGAAATGGCTTACAGTTTTCATTTGGAAAATTTAGGCTTTTTATCGCCATCTTCATGATTAATATGCGATTATCAAATAAGGGATTAATAAACATATAAAGAGGTTGGAAGGAAAACATTACCTCTGTGCTTCTCCGTTAATATGAAAACCGAGAGCAGCAAGAACCCAGAGCTGAAGAACTCTTGTGGGACACACTGCTGCTAATTGGTCAGTCGTTTCTAATATCTTCAGAAGTGTGACATCGAAAGAAAGGCGCATGCTTATGCAATCAACCAACACTATTTGAAGACAATTTAAAGCTGGAAAGAATTTATAGTTTGCCACATAAATGATGTGGTCTCCATAATTGGTTAATGGATACATAATACGTAGCAAGTAAATTTCAATTTGGATTGATATCAAAAAAAGAATTAAAAAACAATCAGTCCAGTTCCTCGTTAATTTAAAAAGCTTGGGATTCGCAAAGAGGTAACACAAACCACATAAAGTCAGATATGGTCGTGTATTACAAGCTTTGATTAAGAGTTCCACAAAAGAGCGAATTCTGTCCAATCCCATGATTACTTGTCCACGACTTTCAGTATGATAAAGCGATAAAAAATAATTGAATACTGAATTTAGCAATTTCTCAGCATCTGTAGCTGTCCTAAACAGCAGTCAAATGGAGAACTTTCAAAACAGTTTTTAAATAAAAACTGGAATCCACAGAAACCTCGAAAACCGAAGAATCAAAACCAATTGCTTTCCCATGACATAATTATGTTCTAACGGCAAAAGCAGCAAATTCAAAATGATACCAGTTCCGGGCACTAATCTCATTAACTTGTTCAATGACGAAATTGAGCAAACGAGTTTCTGGATCCAGCAAAGAATAGTTTATTCCACCTCGAACAAGTACACATAAGAGATCCAATACCTGAAACACTATTTACCCTTGAGAAATACAACTTTTATTTTAATGGATTCCCTCATTTCTTTCTTCAGTTAATATATTAAAAAAAGATTTGACAAGTCCATGAAAAGGCGAAATCACCGAGCATTGAATATCCACAGAATTCGTTGACTGATATAAGCGAATTGTCAATGATACATACGGTTCAAACATTGTCACGTGCGAAGCTATTTCCATGCTTGTGGGGACTCCATCTTTAGAGATTAGGTCCTTGCGTAACCAACCAGCAGATCTACGAAAAATTTTTGGATTTTGGTATAAACTTATTTAAACCTTATTTGAACCGAATCTTACCCTTTCAAATCCTGAAGAAATGAAAATGAAACATACCTTATAAGCTGAGCTTCGCCATATTCAGTTCGACCTGTATTGATAACAAATTCTGTAAAGAAATCTGCATTTCTTAACAAGCAGACTTCGAAGAGATCTGTAAAGATAAAAAATAAAGATAAAAAAATACGTAACGCCTCCGAAAAGTACTGACTAAAAGTGACAATTATGTCTTCCAAAGAAGCACCTTTGTGGCCTTTAACACAGTGGAATATGAGATTTGGAAACAAAAACCATGAAAAAGAACATGATTGACTGTTGCTGCATTTCAGTATAAACTGACCCACTTCAGAATTCATACCGCACCAAATCTATGAGAATTTAGTCAAACTCTCACTGAGGACTGGATTACATAAACACTGTTTCATTTCACAGGTCACAAAATGAAAACGCTAGAAAAAACTTCACTTACACAATTAGATATAGTGAAAATCACCTTTGGGTTGGCTAATATGATTTAATTTCAAACTCCTTAATCCATCTAATGATAAATTTGCAACATTACTTCCAAATAATATCTTAAATAACTGCATTGCAACTCGAATACTTTCATCTGGCACGACTTCGATAACAGTTTGACAGTACAATAAAATCTAAAAATATTTCGAAGAAAAAATTTCAAATTAACTGCTTCTAATGATTACCAAATATGCCTGAGACAGATTTGTACCTTGAAAAAATGCCTCTAACCACGAAAATTTTTATTGCTAATCGTATTAGGATACACGTTTGCTCTTGATTAATGTTTTGGTGCGAATGAAAATGCAGGCAATTATTTTCCAAACGTGTTCTGCATGTTTTTCACCAACAATACCAGACAGATGACAATGATAAGCAAAACATCTTTTGTAAACACTGATGTAAATTACCTCTTCCAGAATATCTGCAACCAGTGGAAGACGCATCACCTCTAGTGTACAAGCTAAACAATTCAGTGCTGAAATCAACAGAGCTGTAAAACGTTCGGATGCATCAAACGCCAAAGTATTCTGAAATATAATTGCATAACCCATGTAAGAGAAACTAAATGAATAAGATGAGATAAAAAAGACGAAAAAGCTCCTCACCATATAATTGAGATAACCACCCTTCAGTGAATCAGCGAGATGAATGAGACTAGGAGATTGCAGGAAGCTTGTATTTCTAGACATTTTGATGCCAATACCAACAAATCTTGAAATCGCAGCAATTCGTTGCTCCCATGATGCTACACTGTTGGTACTAACGGAAAGTGCTTTACGAACGGGCGAAAATGGTGAGGACCGCGAAAAAGGACAAACAGTTTGCTGCCGATGTTCGATTATCAAAGAATAATACAAATTAATAACCCTGAAAACTAAAAAGAGGAGTGATATAAATGCCAGATATTACAGAAAAGAAAAAATCATCCCGTTTGTTTACAAACGAATGATATCCTCGAGATCTTCAAAAATTTTTTAAACAACAATTGATCCATTTCTCAGCATCACTTCCAAAGTTCTCGACGCTGCATTTATTTCCACTAATCCAATTTTCTCAACAGGAAAGTTCTACATCGGGAAAGGTAACTGACATACCTCAATTGCAGTAGAATAAGTTGTTCATAAATGGAATATCTCAGGAATTTCGGCATAACATCACTACCTTCATTAGCAGCCTTCATGATGCCTACTGTGTACAACCCTTAAAACAGATCGTGTTGTAAGGACTTCATAAATATCTCATGTTATAGTCATGTCATGAATTTCGGAAATTCATTTCCCAGCAGGAGTGTTTGGGCAAGTAACTTTCAAGACAATGACTGAAGTCGTTCTGAAAAAAGCAGAATTTTACCAAATCATTTTGGCAGTAATTTCGGAAGGTACCAACATTAATTTACCTGCAGTCATATACGTTGCAATATTTAATAACTGTATGAAAGTTTGAATATCAGTACAGCAATAATCACATTTAGAAATCAGAGAAATGATTAAACCAGTCTTCGAACTATCAACGTTCGATTCCAGTCCCCATGCTTGCGCATAATGTCTAGATTTGAAACAACATAACAGTTGAAATAACCCAGCAGCAATACCTGCCTAAATAGTCCTTAATTTATATTTTGTTCTTGAAACAGATCTTCATGTTATAAACGGGTTGTATTAAAACATATTTAATAAACTTCACCACTAACTAAATCATTAAAACTAGATGTAGTTAAATGTACTTGTTAAAATACCAGTTAGTCAGAGCAAGAAAATAGACAAATTATTTCCAATCAAACAATGACCTGTTGTTTTTCGCACGCACTTGTCGTTAAAATTTGGAACATCTTTCTAAGCACAAAAGAAAGGTTGTAAGCGGTCAAAAAATTGAATGGTTGCTGCAGGAAATCGTAGTATGGACTCATACCTACAGTCTGAAAAGAAGTGATAAATGACCAGTTTGTTGTATTTGATTACAAAAATACGATGGCGATTTTGTATCTTATTTTTGCATGTCATACCAGAGGATTTTTTGGAAAATCGGAACAAAGGTAATCAGTGGGTTCTTCCACTGCGATGTTATTCGGTGCTGAAGTGTAGTTCGCGTTCTCAGTTAGTCTGGAAAACAATATAAATTTTAATTTGAAACACTGCAAGGAAAATGTTCAGCACGTTAACCCTCAACAACTACTTGCTCAAAATTAGCAGCATATTTCCGAGGAATTCACTTTACTATGCTACGGATTACTGTCTGAAGTACTAATGAACGAACAATGAAAGATGCTTTGCTGCAGCGTTCCTCACTCGTTGGTCGTCATCAGCAAGCAAATGCATATATATCTGAAAAATCTCGTCAGGAAGATGAGTAGTAAACGAAATCGCAAATGCCCACTCGATGCTTGCTAGATATTCCACTACAGCTATCTGAAAATGGACCAAATAACATATATTTCTCGATATGACCGTCATTCCAGCCACAAATCTGAAAGACGGATTCCTTACATGAAATGTTTTTCTTTTTGAACATTATCCAGTGGCCACAATATGGAATCTAAAACAATTACAAACAACAGCTCTGATAATATTCGTAATAAATGCAAAGTAACTCCTTCTAACTTCCAGAAGTATCAGTTTAAAATATTTACCCGCAGCAAAAAATAGTTGTCCCGATAATTTTCACAGGCAAATTTTGCAACATCGTATACAATCCCAGCTTGATAAACCAGTTTTTTGGCAGACTTTAAAGCTATCAGTAACGAGCGACTGCAGTGAGCACGACGAATACGGATCGCATCATATACAAATGAAGCGAATGAGCAACGAGATTCTACAAGATTACGAATGCAAGTTTTTAACTTGTCTGAAGAATTCCTCCCTTTCTGAGATGAAGAAAAACTGGAATTTTTAAAAAACGATGTAAAGTTTCTAGAAGACCAACCATGGAATTGTTCACCCAAAGCTCTGAATCGGCATTTTTCAGCATTTACGAACACAGTGATTGCTACAGCTTTTAACTGATCATCTTCGTGATTCAGATAAAGTTGAAGATCCTTCAATGTTTGTACGCCTAAACCACCTAAATTGCATTGTTAATAAATACAAAATGATGATATTCATTAGTAATTACAAGCATCAAATATAAATTCCTGACTTTATTGGAAACCTTGATTTGACAATGGAAATAATCACCTTTTGGTTGGAGAGTTATGTCAGCAAATTTTGGCAGATGCAAAGCAAGATTGCCCAAACAAGACATTGCCAAAATTTTGTGGCTTACACGAACTTCGCTATCAGGCATCAATTTAAAGCATTGCCCACTTAATAAAAATCGTTTTGCCAGAAGTACGGCAGTATATGTGAGAAATGAACCAAATGCTATAAAAAATACATTGATTTTTAACTTCAACGAACATTTTATTTTTGAAATATTTTTAACCAAGACCTATATTTATATGGCATTGCTAGTCAAGAGCTTTTAAATTGTTGATTGTTTTATGACCCTTACTAACGCTTATCAAATATAATGAGGTAAACTGAAATAAAAAAATTACATATGTCTACAGGCAAATATTTGGGTATCGGAATAGAAACTGATGTAAGTTCAGGTAACGATCCTTCTGATGAACTAGAACACTTGGTTTGATCATCGGATATTTCTAAGTGTCTTAGGGGATCAATAATATCCATGCCACCTTCCGAACTTGACTCGTTCTGCTAAAAAAGTAATGCGACTACGAATTTTTAAAGAATCAGTTTATCAAAATTTCCCAATTTTCAGAAGTTATCTTACAGCACAATCTCTTTTATTACAAAGCTTTTTTTAATTTCCAAAAGAAGAATAATAAGCACTCTTAGAACTCACCATCTTTAAGCTCGAAGAACCAGCATTTGAAGGCAAACTAAATGAAGGCTGAACACAGCTGTTAGCTAAATCCACTGCTTCAGAAGATGTGCTATCAAAAAGAAAATCTAGTGGACTAGCTCTCAGCGAGCTCACACAACTGGTAGCATCTGTAAAAGCAAAAAAAAGAAAAAACAGGATGAAAGGACTTGAGTAAAAGTTAAACAACGTTTGAAATATCAGACTATAAAAACAGACGGGAAGAAAGCAAACTTGTTGGCACAGCAATATCCTGTTCTTCCACGTCAGATTTTAGAATGTTTGACTGTTGTGGATAAAATGACTCTACGTTAAGGGCAGCGAGTGGAGATGAAACCACTTTTTCGAGAAATTCCAATGAAGCAACCACAATTTCATTGTGAGGTGAAAAAAGACACCGTAATACATCACGAACTACCTAGAAAGAAGATCCAGGCAAATATTTTAGTCAGACATTTAGTCTTATGAATCCAGAATAAGAGAAAAAAGCAAACCAAACTCTAGTTTTCTGACACTAATTCAGTATTTCTATTCAAGTTGAAAAATCATTCTACTTACACCTTGCAGACTCTCCAATTCATATTCACTGCTCCTCAATAAATAAACAGGCCACAGTAAACGCAGTGAATTCAGCGTTCCAACCAGCAGATTTCTATTTTGCTGTTCACTTGCTTCAGATAATACTTCTAAATAGAAAAGTAACCAGAATCTTGATTTGATTTGAAAAAAAAAAGAGATTGTGCAGCTGAAAATCAAAAGAAAATGGGTTTACTGAGGAAATGTAGAAAAAATTTTCTGCGTACAACTCCAACATAAGTAGCCAATTGATTTATAACGACAGCAGCTGCCCGATTCGTTACACCTGGTAGTTCCAAATTCGAAAGCGCTACTTCATAGAGCTTCTGAAAATAAAAATCAAATCTTCCCTCCTCCGTTATTCCTTAGATACATGAGTATCTTATTTGATGAGTAACTTTCGCAAATTTCACAAAAACAGATATTTATATCAGACTGGTTAATATTTCATACTTACCAATACACTATCATTTGGTTGTGTCGCAAAATCCGAACCGAGGAATGCAAAAACTGAAGGAAGATACCTTTCCAAAGCACTCTGCACAACTTCTTCTGAACGAATTAGGATTTTCGGAAGAGCAGAAACCAGATGCATTCCTATAGCCCTGAAGAAAATTTAAATAAAATCATCCATTTTCCATTTAAGAATGTTATATTTCTTGTTGGCTCAGAGACGTGGCATTCCTTGTTTATTTTTTTTTTTTTCTCTTCCACATGCACCCCTTAACTTCAAATGAACTGGAAGGGCAGTGAATTCCAATTAATAATCTTTAGCTAACCGTGAACGATTTGTTTTTACATATTTTAGAGCATCGAGCAACCGCGAAAGCGCAAAAACGAGTGACCGTGGTGGTCCATTTCGTCTAATTTCTGACATCAATACAACAATAACCCGTGAAGTATTCATATCAATAACCAAATGCTGGAAATGATGTCCAGTTGTCAAAATTAATTTTCGGAATTACATAAAACTTTACATTACATAAAAATTGATTATATCCACTTTTGCTTGCAGTTAATGGACAAAAATGCCTAGTTACATGTTATTTAGGAAACTAGAAGTGTAGTTATGGCTAACCTATAAAATCGCAAACCAGGAGAAACAACTTATTTAAACACTGACTTCCTTTCAATGATACCTACCCGAAGCACCGAATCCACTGTTTGTTCACTTAACATACGAAAGTCACTGTTCGGATGATTGATGTATTCAAACAAAGTTTTCACTGCACGACTGAACTCGTCGTTATATTTTGGATTCCTCCTGAAAGACAAAAGAGAAGTTACTGAATAAAGAGGATGTAAAAAAAAATAATAACCACTAAAACTGCATGGCCATTCGATTATAAAATGTAATGCGTCTGAAGTACGTGTGATCACAACTTCCGCATAGGTGAATATCAGCACGATCTGAACTGTCTTGCAGCCAGCACTGTGAAACAGTGCATCGTAAACTATTTCGAGGTCTATTTAACCATATCTATTTCATACTATTTTTAGATGAGCAGGTAGCTAACCAAATTTCAAGTCGAACAAGCACATCTCTGATATCTGAGAAAGCTGCATACTCTTTTTCGCAAAGTTCCGATTTTTTGCTGTAAAAATGAGAATTAACCGGATATAAAATGACCTTTCTGATCATCTGTAAACATTATCTAATCTTATCAACAGAACAGCAGAATTAAGCTCTTCAACACCGAAGGATAGTAAAATTTAAAGATGGCTTGAATTCATGACTTTTACTATGATATGTATGACGTGTCTTTAAAGCAAAGAAAAACCCTGTACGATTTGTAATTGGATGTCCATGCAACAAGGAAACTATTCCATTACGTTTTCCAATATTACTGTTGTGGTACTACTCATGGAATACGAACCTTTCCCATAACCCTAACAGTATTTATAGGAATAAGAACTGACCTGGATATAGTCGCCCAGTCTGACTTCCTAGTTGTCTGCAAAACATTAAGGGCCTTTGAAAGGCGATCCATCTTACAAATTCTTATTTAAACAATCATAAGAAATCCTACAAAAGGAAAAAGAACTGTAAACATATAGTTTATTTGGAAAAAATGTTTGATTACATTGACCATTTCATCACATAAACATTTAGATACATAACGGTAGTTCATTTGAAATAAAACAAAGCATTCCCCATGCTCTCTTATTTATTGTATAAGTTATCAGCCTCTCCTCGCCCACCCAGTCCGTTTTGAAATCAACATTAAAAACTCTTCCACGAGTACTGCTAACATTTAACAATAAACTCAGAATGGTACCCTTATCCTATCCTATTAAAGAATTCATGGTAATCATAACTCGTAGCTGAGATTGTTAAAATTTCAGAGAAAAAATTTCTATGGGAAGATGACCCACAGCTCAAGCAGCGGCTTCCACAGAAAGATAACATTTGCTCACACAAAGAAGAAAATTTATGAATTTTATTTTCAAACCAAGCATAAAATAAAGAAGTGCGAATTTAACATGGAGGAATGTGCAAAATCATAATTATTCGCCATCAATTGAGTAGATAGACCGGATAAATCTTCCTAAAAGTGACGTTTTATTCAACTGATCACTGTATTCTCGAACCAACATTTTCACCAATTCTGCTGATTCTGCTAATCGTGCATTCAGCAAAACATTCTCCGCTTTAAGCTGTTCTATCTTCGAAATGTTACTACTATCACGAGCTATCTTTCGACGTATCCACGTACTTCCAGCAGCCAAGTGGTCGTTAGCTGGTTGTCCATTTTGCCAACTTTCAAAGCTTTCCATACAATCACAGGAGCACCTGGCAAAGTAAGCACGCAGTTCAATGATTTTCTCACGAGCAGAACAAAGTCGACCGCTCAGTTTTTTGATCTCGTTTTTCAGATGCGCATGTTCCTGCAGAATATCAGCATTCTTCGTACTTACTTTTTATAAATGATCTTCAGCTTTCCAAATTTTTTGTTTGCCTTTATTTCCTCCATTCTGATTTCAAAACATGCCTCTTTACATTATTACTGAAAATAGTACCTTTTTTATAATTCCTACACTAAATCAAAATGCAGAGACAATGTTACTTAGCAATTAAATCATTAGTTTTATACAATAACAGTTCATTTGAAACAAGCCAAAATGAGAGAAAATACATCGGAAAAAGGGACAAAATGCTCACTTCGGTTATGCTATCTGCACTAGAGATAACATCTTCAAAGCCACTTTCGACGATATTACTATCACCTGCTATTGCTGCATGGATCTGCTTTAACTTTGTTCTTATAATCTCATAATGAGAGCATTTGCCGTGTACCATCCAAACATTCTACGATGCAATCAGTGAAAAATAATGTAATTCCAAAGTGATTATTGCAAATCAACATATGGAGAATTCTCCATTTAGTGAAATATTAACCGGAAATGAAAATTATGTTCAATTTACTGGATAAAATATAACAAAACTATAACAATTTTACCTTGCAAAAAGCTTTTGATGATGGCGATGTCTTCTCCATATTCAACATATTAATACCACTACTTCGATTAAACCTATTATATGAATCAACACTTTTCCTACAAAATAAATTTAAGGTTAAACTAGATGTAAAGAACTGAAATTTGTTAGTTGTAAAATTGCTGAACTGCGAACAGAAGATTTTGGATGCAAAATCGAACATTGTGATTGACTGTTCCAACAAACACTGGTATTACTGATAACGGTTTATCCTGTTCTTGTATTACCTTCACATTCCTTCAGCTTTCCCACTCTCATATTGATACATCTACGCCTGCGCCGTCATAATTGAAAGTCGCTATATATTACTACATGTGACATGCAAAAGTTAACGATAGAAAATTATTACTTTTTTATGATCCCTCATAATTCCTATTTCCTTCTTTCTAGTGCAAAATTTTACCGGAACTCTTCCATCAAGACACTGAATCTTGGTAGTTCAACGTTGGGTAAAGATTGCACTGAACCATACGTTTGAATGCTTTCCATATTTTCAAGAGCATTGCTTTCGTCATTATACTGCTAAACAGCATATCAATTAATAATGTTGAATTGTTGTCAGTAGCTACTTACTATGTATTATCCCTAACTAACTTTTTTTTTTTTTTTCGCTCCATAATCAACAAGAAGTACAAGAGCAAAAATTTGTCTATTCAACTACTAATTGTAATTTCATTTTTCGAAATTGTGAGCAAAGTAAGATTTTAAATCCTAAAAATAAAATCTTTACCCCAAGCCTACGGGTAAATAATCGTGAATCGTCAGGTGTTGATGAAGATATGACCGTTTTTAGGCGGCTCAATTCGTATTCATATTCTTCCTGTAACATAAAATTTTGATACATGCTCGAGATTTCTCAAATACGACTTTCCTGAAAATAAAATATTGTGCCTGATTCTAGGTATTTATATAAGTTCGTTTTTTTTAAAAATTCGATAAGAGAATACAGAAAGTTGCCTGCAATCGATCGATCATTTTCATTTTTTCCTCTGCGAATTTTCGCTCTAAAATATTTCTTTCGGTAACCAATTGTATTTGAAACTGAAATCGTTCCTTCTCGAAACTACAACAGTATACAATTAATGAAGTCAAAAAAGTTCAATCTCTCAATTTCCTTCATTTTGTGGAGCATTATTTCAGCTTGTTCTATGCAGATTCACACAACATAAAACTCTGTGTCATTGAGAAAGAATAAATTATGCACGTCCTATAAAGAATATGCTTTCAAATATATTTTTAACTTTAATTTGGGAAAACAACACTTTTTGAAAGGTATACCGAATTTTAGACATTAAAATCTAATAATCTTCAATTATAAAAATTGCCTTTGCATTATTTGTCGTTGCTGATTGGTCAAAGCATCTGCAAGGGTTTTATTAGCCGAATGCTTCAAAGCCACGATCTCTTCTCGATGTTGTTCTTTGATTCGTTCCATCACACTTTCCTGTGAATCCTTCAGTAGAGTTTGCTTAAGCTTTTTACTTGATTCAACATCTGACGTCTTTTCTTTGTCTTTCTTTGCATTCACTATCCATTCATCTAAATTACTAATGACTTGGCGGGAAATGAAGGTATTCCGAATTTTTCGACGATTCTGACATTTTCATTTTTAAAAAAGAAATAACGACATGAATAAACATGAGTTTTTAATGTGAAGAATATACTTGAAGACGAATTTTCCACAATCCTAGCAATTCGGTCATGTCGACGTTTTCGTTCCTTGACTTTCAACATACGACGTCTTCTAGACCTTATAAAGATGGACTCCGGTTCGCTTTCCATCTCTGAATACTTGATGTCATGGATTGGAATACTTTTTATTCCAACAACATTTTAACAATTTCCAAAATAAATCTGAGTAACACTTTATCATAAGAAAGCCAAAAAATGTTATATACCTGACAGTGTATCAACTGGTCTACCTTCCTTGCGTCTTTTTAGAGCCAACATTTCCAATCTAAACGTATTAGTCCAGTGAAAATAAAGTGGCTCAATCATATTGAAACGAGTATTGCGTCTTTTCCGATTACTTGTTAATTCCTCTATTTTTTCCCGCAACCTCTGAAAAATTTTACAGAGAGTTCTGCAATAATTGATGCTGAAACAACTAATTCATTCACTTCATTATGTTTGATGGCAACATCCAAACAAGATACATAAATGTTTTAAGATGTATCTATCGAATAAATCTGACAAATTTCATTTTGCTGTTTTGTAAAATGAATGAATTTGATCAAGTTGTAATAGTAATAGAAGACTAATATTTTTCCTTCAGAAAAAGTGTCAAGTTTTTACAGTAAAACTCCGCCCATTCGTTCCATGCTATCGTTTTTTCAGAAGTGTGTTATGATGTATCCTATGCTCTGAAGAAATGCTCATCTATTCAAATCTTTAAATTCGATTCAACATCAAAAACCTTGTTGTGAGCGATAAGTAATTCAACGTGATGCCTCAGCATCATCGTTGGTTGCGTTTCTTCGAATGGCCGCGGTTGTAATGCTTTATTTAGTTCACTGCGCAAGTGTCGGTTCATTTGCTCCAACTGGTGCACCGTTTCAGATAATTCCTTCGCTTCTTCTGTAATTCGTGTACACTGCCGCTCAAACAATTGCAAACGAGTACGATATGATGATTCATTTTTTCGAAATCGAGCAAGCTCTTCTTCTGCCTAAAAATAATATCATCTCTTCTCTTTCGTGAACCCTACACTGTTCGAGAGACTGTAGTTCAAACATTTCAAAATTTTAAACCAGTATAAAACACTTTCCAACAGAACCTTTTCCAATTCAGTTAACAAATCCTTTTTTTCTTGAGAAAATCGTTCCTCTATTTGACTTATCTTTGTCCGATAGCGTTCATCAGAACTCCTACAATGAACATGATATTAATCTTTTTAAAAAACCGGTAATTATTTGTAGCAGGCCGGTAGAGAGTTTGACAAAAACTCCAAAATGTATGATACAAATCAAATTTCCGAGAAATGTGATAAAAGAATAGCAAAAACTATTATAAAAGGAGGTAAAGTCCAAAATAAAACTATATCATAAAATGTGAATGTATATGTAGAAAACAAACATGATTTCAGGTACCAAATTTTTCTGATGAAACCAACCTAAACCGCTGCTCATATGCCTGTTCAATGGAAAGTTGATTTTGTTCTAGTTCTTCAATCAGAAGAACATGTCTCTGGTTCGCCTGCTGGAACTGTTTGTAAAAATGCTCCGCACGCAATTCAGCTTCCTTTAGTGAACATCTGAAACATAAGTTCTCTAACTTCCACTTAGAAATAAGTTCTATCTTTAGTTGCCTTTGGAATGCACGTTGAGGAATGATGACTGAAATTGACAATAAAAAAAAGATGGAAAAATACCATAAAATATTTGATATTTACCGATAACACAGGATAATTTGAACATACCTTATATGATCGATGAAAGCATGAAGTGAAAGCAAGGCAACTCGAATTATTGTGGAGGCAGTCGGTGCGGCCACTAAATTACCTAACTGCCGCTCCAAACTACCACTGAGTGAGATAGCATTGACAGTTCCTTCAAGTGGTTGGCCGGAAAGCTGAATAAAATAGAATAGTAACTCACGTAATGAATTTTTTGCACTTCCATCCATAAAAATCCATGACTTTCAATAATATTTTATTCATTTTACCTTCAAAACATATAAACCCTGTTCCATACTGATACCGCACGCTCGCCAATGTTCCAACAATTCCTGGCATCGAACAGTTCTAAAAATTAAGACGAAATCTTTGCCACTATCTGCGCATCGCAGTAGAGTTTCGACTTCATTTACAAAGAAAGGTCTAACAAACAACAGATCAAAGACCTGATACAAGAAACTATACGATTACCCAGTGTTAGAAGGATCCAGTGCCTCGAACAAATTCACTGATGGTACGAAAGTTTCGGTAATAAAATTTACTTCTTCGCTTAACCGCTTCTGCATATGATACTGAGCAAGAAATTGTGCTAATGTAATACGTCCTACGTGACTAATATCCGCCTGTTCAAAAAGTTCATCGATCTCGACTATCCCAAGACTGAAATGTTATTTCTCAAAAAATATTTCATTCCATTAAATACGATAAGAATCATTTTACAGGAAAGCGTTCCACTTTTACATACCTTACTGCAAAAGGGATTTTTTTTCTATATAAAATTTACCTGTTCAATTCTGGCGTATGTTCACACAAAATACGAGCCTCGTACCGAGTTAAAAGGCCATGGGGCTCAATTCCAAGTTCCAATAAGTTTTTTTCCGCATTACTTTCAAGATTTTCTGCTACCGTGGTAACGTTGATAATATCTGGCAGTAATTGCATGAAGCGTTCTTTGAAAACCTTCAAATGAATTTTTTCAAAGACATCAGTTTTCCACTTTCTCAAACTAATTCTCAGTTTTCTATTATGAAACCTAGCAATTTAGACAATCAGCAAAGCCTCACCAAAAAAAAAAAAAAGAATTCATGTTCGCATTCGAATAAGACCCTCTACAATCTCCACAATAAAGTATACCGTAAAATCGACAACTGTACAACCACTGAGTATCCGTTCAAGTATGACATCAGCAAAGGAAGAAAGGTTGAGTTTAATGCATAAATCCTGTAGACCAGATGCATCCAAGTGTGTGTCGCCATGTTTTGCACAGCTTAGGAATAGCTTCAAAAACATTAAGTTTTTCTTTTTCAATAACTCATCTATAATGAATTCTTAAAGTCCTTCACGAAGTCATATATTTCTGCTCACAATAAACGAAAGAAAAAAAACTCACTCTATTCAGTTCTTTGACATGAACATTTTCATCGTCTAGTACCGAAGTTGTCATTCGTTACAAAACATTAATATATATGCTGCAATCAGAAATAATTTGAAGGAGTCAAAAACTGAAATTCTAACTTCTAATTTAGCTTCTAAGGCTGCGACGGATAACAAAAATCACTACTAGTGACCACGCTTTATCAGAAGGTGACTTCAGCACAAAAAAATCATTAAACGATTTAACACAAAGATAAACTGAACTGTAACACTAAAACATAAATCAGAAAATGCAAAGTCTAAGCAAGAAGCAGTATTTCCCGAGAGAAGGTATAAGGAAGAAGCCTGCTACCAAGTCTTAAACCAAGATCTGGTACCAGCATTTAGCCTAGCACAGAAAGACTATTCAAGTAACATGTTCGGCATGTCAACCTCTACGGTGAAGTACCAATTGTTAATCGGTATATGGGCACTGCCGAAACAATCAACCATCCGTAAAAGAAAGCTCTATATATACTTTGCCTACAAACATTTACGAAATCAAGATATTCAGATGGTACCTTTACAATACCACACAAACATGCACACCCATGTACATATATACACAAACGCACACAAATACACACAGAAACAGACACACACACATACACATGCATGCATATGCACACACACACACACGCACACACACACACATACACACACACACATGCACACACACATACACACACACATACGCACACACATACACACACACACATAAATACACGTACACACAATCTCGGCACGACCACCGTGAACTCTTTCTGCAACGGACACCGTCCTGCATAATTTTGCACTTCTGATAAAGGCCGGACAGTTAACTAGGAAATGTACGGTGGCCTAGATGAAACATGCTGATTTCAATTGTTGCAACGCAGCTCCAAATTCAGCAAGCTTCTTCGACGCCTGCTTAGACCTGTTTCGCCTTGCGGTGTCGCTGCGTCGTTTCAGCGGGAATAAGGTACATAAGAATTGTGTCCCATAAAACCTGACACGTTAAACTCATCAGAGGTAGTAGCCTAAATGAATTATGCAAGCATTCAAGAAAGACATCCGTGAGAGAAAAAAGGAAGGTGGATTAATTTGGTTTACTTTACTTTATAATAAGCCATTAATTACTTTATAATTTTACTTTATAATAAGCCATTACCTTTACTTTATAATAAGCCATTAATTAATTGACTCAAGCTAATTTACTGCTCTATGAACATGATAAGTGCTTTCCTTCACTGAACATAGGAAAGTTCACTGTTGACAAAATCAATGATAATATGAAAGTGAATATAATATGAAGTAAGAACGAATACCCCGTTGACGATACGTCAACTGTAAGGAATGAATGAATCGAGTGAATGAGAGAGTAAATCAGAAAGTGAAAACAATGAATACTTGATGGAAAATAAAAGTTTGAAAAGTCAATAAATTGGGTGCACGAATTCTTGATGTTACGAAAGAAAGGAAGGAAGTTTTTCGTAAGAACTCTTCAGAATCTTAAAAAGTTGATTCAGGAGTCCAAGAAATTTGAGTGCAGTTCACAACTGGAACATGGTATTCTGTTAAAATCAAAAATATCTCCGCCCGGCAATATGCCGAGACAATATACCATCAGGATGTCATGGATTTAGATGGATGCGATTCAGCGCACAAAAACAATATTTCAAAGTGACGCCATAACTGCCACTGATAGCTGTTAAGAAAAGCAGTTCCATTCGTTGTACGCAAAACAATCAACAAAGAATCAAATTCTAAATTTTCCCATTGCAAATTCTATGACTTTACTGATCTGGCAAGATTTGGGACATTTGAAATGTTGCTGAAACATGATAATAACTCCATTTGACCCGGCGGATTTTCGAAGTTAAGCTGTCATGATCATTCCCCAAGTTATACTGAACGGCATTTCAAATGTTTTCATGAAGGTTCCTAATTGGAATGATAACGCCTTCATCGAAATTTACTCATTCTTCGTTATTTCCGATGCGATTATTTGAAAGAGGATTTTACCTGTAAGACCAAGTATGGCAGGATACAACAATTCTAGGTTAGATTAGATAATCATTCAGAATAACAAAGTATATAAAAATCATTCCTAAATATTTTATTCAGCAGTACAGAGTTTTGCCTTATTAAGCTCACAACTTCAACAAATGAGAACGAAAGATAAGGTTGTGTGCTTTTGCGAATATATTAGTCACACCCATTTGGGATACTTGAGGAGTTACAGCAATGACGCATTCGTCGAATTTCTGATTTGCCACATTTTCCACGTTATGCGGAATCGTGTTGTTCATTTCCGAAACACTAGTCACCTGCAAATATAATCAAAATTTAGCGATAAATGACATGATTTGTACTTCGAAAAATAAAACGGTTGAATATATTTTCAAAGAGAAAATTGCAATAAATCACCTTTCGACGGATCCATTCACGAAAAATCCCAGTTTCGACAAACCATTCCGTAAAGCGTCGGGCAGATTTAGAACTATGTGAGGCGACCAGCTGAGCTTTGCTAGTTCGAATGGATTCAAAATCACCATTTGATTCGGCGATAAATGCAGCATAGAAGCCACAACTTTTGTAAGGCCAAATTAGAGCTGCAAACCACGACAGCATTGCCTGAAATTTTTTTTGGTGTAAAATAAACTTCGGTGACTGATTTTTCGTATCTAAAGAATAAAAGATGAAGCCGAAAGATTGGGATGTGAATCCTCACACTTCTCTGTTCATACCAGATGGATTTACACCCTAGTCCACTAAAAGTTTTCACTCCAAAACAAAAACCTACTTTTTGAAGCAAAAAATCAGCACGAGGGCCTTCACCAACAGCGATAGCTTCTTTGAGTTTGGTGGCAAGACTTACTGCAAGCTTCCTGGGCACCAAAAGTTTTTCACATAATGCGAATGCATTTTTTGCTTTAAAATCAGCATTCTCATTTGCGGCATACATTTCAGTAAGTTGTGGCACAAATATACCGCCGTCGAGATCGACTATAACAAGGTCCTCCTCAAAACAAAGCATCCAATACTTTCGAAATTATAACTGATTCATAATTTGGCGGAAATCGTCAGAAACGATAGTGAAGAATTTTCAATGATTTGCAAAATTTACCTGGGTGAGATCATCAGTACGTCGGTTCTTGTCCTTTACAACCAAAGGCTTCAATTTATACATGTTTGTCCTAAAATTTATTTGAGATTGACTAGCATCGATACTTCGACGGAAATGATCAAACTGATTGCACTAATAAATTAAAATTTCAATTAATTGCAAAAGTAGCGCAGAAAAAGACAGGGCAAAAAGGACCAACTGACCTTAATAACCCCATAAGATACGGTGTTGGAGAATTTACTATTTCTAACAAAGAATCTGGTAAAACTGGGATTAATGTATAAGGCCATGAAAATGGATGCAATAAACAAGCGACTGACTGAACTGCATGGCAAACACATTGTACCTATAAATACTTGATAAGTAATCTTCAACTTATTTCTGGAAAAAAATCTTATAATATTTTTACATTCTCTTTTTCCCCGATTTTGTTTTATAGTATTTCATTTTCTAGAAATCTAACTTGGAAACGTGTCTTCCTTACTTTTACTCGCTAATTAGCTGATTCCTGGTCTCACTCACGAATTCTTCAACTCAGGATCGTTTAAATACATAAGCAACTGAGAAACTACCGAGCCACCAACAATGATAACTCGTTGCTCAGCCAATAGAGCTCCAATTATAGCAACTGTAACTTCTGGCCCCATGCGCTGAACAATTGCAGAACAATCTGATTGACCCAATATAGGATCCTGCCCTCGGATTACAATATTCCGCTTGGCACCATCTCTGGCTTCTTCGAAAACATGTAAAGAACTACCTGAAATGAGATATTACTTACTCATTGGTGGTAGTCCAGTGTAAGAGCGAAGTTCTTTCAAAACATTGGAAATTCAAATTGTTCCCTAAATTTAGATTCAAGAAAGTCTTAGATCTTTTGCGAAAGTCTTAGATTTAACCATCAGTTGGGAATGTGCATCGATAAACAACATTGAGCAAATTCTTCAATCTTTCCAAACTATTGTGCAGATAACACACACATTCTCGAGCAAGCGCAAAATAAAAGAGTGGTGCATGAACCGGTGAAATGACAGCAAAAACTTCGGGCAGATCACCGTCTCTTGAACAAGTAGCTGTAAACAATCTTGATTCCCGGTGTAAAACTATTTATGTAAAACAAAAATGCAAACATACATAAGTTTTCTGGGACGTAATAACTTTACCTGTGAGATTGTGATAATACAGTACAATTGATTGGCTCTAGATTTCCAGGCCGAGTAATAAATTCTTACGGCAGAAAAAATCATATATATCTCTCTCCTTTGTGGTAAAGCCATAAAAAAATTGTAAGGATTAAAAGATAACACATTTCCTTAAAGATTGCGAAGAAACAAGAATAAGATATCTTTAGTTACAAAAAAAATATAGAAAGCAATACCTTGTTCGCCGTTCGCTTCGTGCCGCCGTATCAAATGACGTATGCAATATGCGAAAGTTCTGAAACTTAATGTTACAACTGTTCCATAAGATAGAAGATGGACGACACAGATGGCTTCATTGCGTGCAAAAAGTTCCACAAATTTAAATAATTTAAGAGTGACAAATGAATAATACACAACAGCTGAAGTAATAAAATAGTGAATTATACCGATCAGGAATCATAGCATCTTTGAGATGCAATCAAACTGGAACAAATATAGGAGCAAAGAGGCACGAAAACAGAAAGGACGAATATTTTAAAAGTTTGAAAACAATGAGTCAAACTAAGTTATGGTTGTTGGTATTCTTCATTTGCAAGTATGTCTATACATACGATAAACATTGATAATAAAGGTCTTCAAAAAGAAAAAAATATGCAGTATACTGTCTAAAAATAAGGATTGAATGTTCCGAAAGC